CTCTAATGGACGCCTAAGGAAATAAGGTCCTTCCTCCACAACCAACCAAGAGAAAGGGCCTTCCTCTAGAAACAGTACACTCTCAATTTGGACTTCTAGCCTCCTAAAATGAAAATGAATATATTTTATTTTCCTAAAATCATCCATTTGTGGTATTTTTGTAGAGCAGCACTTAATTAAGATATTGCTCCTATTTTTTTGAAATAATATTCTTTAGGTTACATCCTCTCCTGAATTCCCAGTATCTTGCTATATAGTGATATTATCTCCCTAAGGATGTCATCAAATATGACAGCTTCAAAAAAAATGTGATACCCACATCTTTAGTCGTGATGTCTTTGAACTAAAAAGTTACACGTCCACTTTCCTACTTATCAGCTATATTTATATTCAAAACTTTCATCCTAAAAAGTGCTTCCTGAATTTCAGCAGTCTTGGTTTCTTTACAAAGCACTAGCAGCAGCTACACATGCTGAAATTAAATAAAAGTAGAAGCTAGTCTTACTTCCTCTTTATTCTTCTACACACACTATTTCTACCACATACAAATAATCACCACATCTCAGTGGTTCTTCTTCCAAAATATATTTCAAATTGGCCTATTCCCTGCATTTTCACTATTATTCCAGGTTATCATTTCCTCTTTACCCGGTACCCAAGCTCATCTCAAAGAATATATGCCACATCACACCTACCAGGGCAATTTTATGAAAAAAATTCCTCCCAAAAAACCCAAAACAAGTTTTGGCTAGATTGTGGAAAAACTGGAATTCTCATACATTGTTGATGAAATTATAAAATGGTGCAGCCACTTGGGAAAACAGTTTGCCAGTTCCTTAAATGTTAAACAGAGCTATCTGAATTCCTCACCTAGGTCTAAAACTCTAACAAGAACAACTGTTGATACTAAAACTTATACAACAATGTACATCGTGGTGTTACTCTTTTTAAAAATTATCTTTTATACTGGCTTATATATAAAATTTGTATACATTATTTCACACTATCCTTCATTCACATTGTGTTTCATATGATTATTCAATTAATCATCACTGAACTATGCCCACCATCACCCCATCGTTCCAGATCTCCACCAGATATTTCTTAATAGCTAAGAAGAGGAAAGACCCAAATGCCGATCAACTGATGAATTCATTAACAGATATGAAGTCTTGCGTGGATGGGTTGTTGTTGCTGTGTGCCAAGGACTCAGAAGCAATCCACAGCTGACCCTCCAGCAGGTTTTGAGAGGCAGTTTAATCACATGGGAAGATACTGCCCATCCTTCTCCAGTGGAACAGCTGCTGGATTCAAACCATGTGCCTTTAGGATTGCAGTGCAGCTTCTTACTTACTAGGTCACCAGAACTCCCTGGTGAACAGGTGGGATAGAATATTTTTCTGCAATGAAAAGTAGTGCCAGTAGATACAACAAAATTTGGAAGACTTTTTAAAAAAGTAGTGGCATGCACTTTCTTAAACAATACATCTCTGGAAACTCTATGAACTTTAATAAATGACAATAGTTATAGAAAGGTTTCGGGCCTTTTGTTCATAGGGTCGCTATGAGTCGTGCTTGACTCGATGGCAATCAACAACAACAACAACATAATTCTAACAGAAAGAAGCCATTTATAAGGCATCACGTATTCTTGCCTGGTCCACAGTGTATTGTTCTAATTCAAAGGCCATACTTCTCTGGCACTTCAAACCTACCACAGGCTCTGAAGGAGAATGATGGGAAGTCTCCTCCAGTATGATTTACAGTCTATAAAACTCACTGAGGAGTCAATTCTGATCAGACAGCAATGAGCTATTTTTATTTTTTAGTTTATTTATATGAAATGTCCAGAATAGATAAACCTATAGAAGTAGAAAGTTTCTTTATTGGTTATCAGGAGGCTGGGTGACAAGGGCAGCAAGAATGCAGATTTATTGCCAAGCACAATGAGGACTTTTCCCTGGAGGAGGGGAATGATGCTGGTATTTGCACAATGTCACAAATGTAATTAGAACTATTGACTTTTTACATTTGAAGTGGGCAAATTTTATGGTACATAAACAAGAATTCTTTTATGTAAAAAGACAAGGAAAAGGCCCATAAAATTGTTAATCTTTCAAGATATGTATTGCATTCTGAATATACAATCACGTGCTAGGTCCTAGGATTAGTTATAAAGAAGAATGGTGCAGCTATCGACTCTCAAGGAATTTACAAATTAATAGGAGGTCTTCTATAGAAAGCCTTTCCAAATGTGTGAAAAGTATTTTAATCTCCAGATATTCAGAGAGCACAATGAAATCTGGTGTGAAGTATATGTTAAAATAAAAGGAAAAGGGTTATAAATTGTCGATTAGAGAATCAACGGGGTAGGGAGTGTCTTTACTTTTACATACTACGCATGGTTAAGAAGATTTAGCAACCTTGGAGCTACAATCATTACAGCAATCATTGCTATCAGGAACAAGTTTCCTGAACATCTGCAGCCCAAGTTAGAACATAACTTGTTCTCTTCCCACCCCACCCCCCACCCCTCATCTTCCTTCCCCTTGTCTATATTCCATATCCTGTTGGGTTGTGATAATTAGGTAAAAAAGTGATGGGTCCTGACTGATACTGGACAGTTCAGTGATGAGTTAAATCTAGAGTTTTCTGGCCTATTTCTTCCTGTAAGATTCCCCATGAGGAAATTGACAATAGACTGCTTACTTCTGTGTGCCAAATCCTTGATACATGTGAATAAGTGTCTATGAAATCTATCCTGAGACCAAAACACTGTTGTCCAAATGGAACAAGGCTTTAAAATCTGGAAGGGTGTGTGCCAGGGATGTATACCTATTCAATCTGTATGGTGAGCAAATAAGTCATGAAGCTTAACTCTGTGAAGAAAAATGTGATTATCAGGATAAGAGGAAAACTCATCAAGCAGCTGCATTATGCAGATGACACATCTTTGCTGAAAGGAAGGAGGACTTGAAATGCTTGCTGTGGAAGTCAAGAACTATAGTCTTCACTGTGGATTATAACTCAACATCAAGAAGAAAAATCCTCATCACTGGCCCATTAGGCAACACCATGACAGATGGAGAAAGGATTGCAATTGTCAAAGAGTTCACCTTGCTTGGGTCAGGGCTATAAGGGATCCCTTGGAAATACTGAAGAACGATGATGTGGATCTGAAGACTAGAGTGCACCTGATTTAGGGATTTAGGGCATGGTCTTTTCAATTACTTGCTATGCATCTGAGAACTGGACAATGAATAAGGATGATAGAATTGATGCTTTTGAGGTATAGTGTTGGAGAAGAGTACTAAATATATACCCATGGACTGTCAAAAGAACAGATGGGTCTTGGGAGAAACACAGCCAGAATGCTCCTTGGAGGCAAAGAGGTGAGGCTTGGTCTCATACTTTGGCCATGCTCCTTGGTATATCTCCTTGGAAGGAGACATGGTTAGAAAGGTACAGGGTCGGCAAAAAAGAGGAAGACCCTCAGTGAGATGGATGAACACAGTGACTGCAGCAATGGGCTCAAGTGTGTCAGAGCTGATGAGGATGGCACAGGACAGAACAGGGCTCGGAACCGTTGATCACAGAGCTGCTATGAGTCACACTGGATTCTATGGAATCTAAGAACCACCACCAAATGAACTATTTCCACTGCACTGACATTACATGAAGCAGTCTCCCTAAATACAAACACTGTTCTAGTTCATAATATCTTACCTTTCTACTTTTTGACAACTCTAATTAAGTTAATTATTATTTGTAAAATTCCACATTCCCAGAAATACAGAGTTTCTATCATATGCTAAGAATGTCTTAATTCTTAGAAGGAAAGCTATTTCCTTCATTTCATTAGCCCTAAATGCATTTCTCACAAATTACCTTTATCTCAATAAATTCTTGATGAACAAATGTCTCATTTTTCAACTAAAATTTGGGAATGAGGAGCAGTGCCATTCCAACTTTTAAAATGTGTTTTGTCTAAATTACAATTGAGTTAAAAGTCATACATAAAACAACCTTGTTTTTAAAGGAAGAAAACTTCTCTACTTGAGAGAAGTTTATTAGATGGAATAGTTCATGCCAATAATTAAGAGCTTTTTGTATTTTATACTGTCATGAATAGAGAATGAGTTTGGGGCCTTGGGCAAATCATTTAGCCTCAATAACCTCAGTTTCTAGCTTTCTAAAGTTAAGATGACAATAACATCTAATCTGCCTCTCATGACTGCTGTAGAGTTAAGGGTGAAAGATATTTGAAAATGATCAAGAGCATTATCGCCACAATATGCTTTGCCATCTGTCTGCAGCTTGCACACGTGCAACACTTCTACAATTCTCTCGGCATACTCGCACTGCAGCTGCACTGGTCTCTCTGCTACACTGTCATACACAAAAATGTCATTCTATCATCTTGTATTAGTAAGCCCGTAAAAACGTAACAACTCTACACACTGAAATCAAGTGGGAACCAAGCTGTAGCTGACTCTTCAGTGGACTTTTAGAGGGTGTAAATTGTACAGGAGGAGACTGCTCTTCTTTCCCCTGTTGGATTTGAACCACTTGCCTTTGAGCTGGCAGTGCAATCCCATACTCACTAGGCTACCTGATAAATTTCTACCTTCACTCAAGTCTCACGTCTTGGTATTGTAGTAAAGCCTGTGAGAGTCAGAATTCAATGGAACGGACTTGTTATTCCCGAGTGTCACACGGTTTCTGCCTTTAACAGGGTGCCATCTTACCACTTTTCTATCACTCCTCAATAGTGGGAAGGACTGGTATTTTCTTTCCTGACAACTTCCCCCTTTCACAGGTTCTCGTTTTCTCGGGTTCTCCTGTTTAACTGACAAATTGAACTCAGAGAAGAAAAGCACACAACAGACCCTCTTTTTAGAAAGATCTACCTAAAAACCTGTAAGACTATTCTATTCCTTTGGCACATCACAATAAAAATTGGAGTTTTATGGTCATCATGTGGTGTGAAAATGACTTACCTTTGCAGCACAAGCCCGTATCACCTCCTAAAGGAAATATAATAAAATAAACACACATCCATAATTCTATTTAAATAAGGATGAATTTTTTTCAACACATTCCAATTGTAATCTTCTAATAATCAAATTACCCTGTGGAAGACTTTTGTTTCTTTCATCACTCTGCACCATTTCCATTAAGCAGAAACAGTAGAAATTAAAGGGATTTAATGACATGTTCATTATAAATTGAAAATATTTATCAAAATAAAGGCTCTGACAAACAGACTCTGGAGAGGTCAAATATATTTCCCATAAATATCTCGTAAATATTAAAATTCTCTACTAGAAAAAGAACATGTCCAAAAGACATATATGCTGAATCAATGGCGGTGTGCAATTATCACCATCAATCATAGTAACAACACTTGTAAGTCTAATGCTCATATTAAAAATTAACTTCAGAAGAAATTCAATAATAAACATTACTAAACCCTAAAGTATGTCACCAGACCTAAAGGAGTTATACAAAAGAAACTTTTGCTTCATGAGATAAGGCCTAGAAAAGGTCATTTGCAGAAGAGAAACTACTAAAATTTAACATGTAAAGGATGATCTGAAAATTTCTTGCTAAGGAGACACTAAAAATATTCAGGTACAATCAGAATTAACCAGTATAAGCAGTCACCGGTCTATCACAGAATTAAGATGATAGAAAAAAAAAAAAAAGAAAGGTTTTTAATTTTCCAGAAATTTCTAAGTCACTGTGTCTAAAGGATGTCAGTAATTCAATCACTTTCTAGGGCATCATACTCTTTGTGGACACAGGAGTCCAAACACCTGGCACGGCTCTCAGCTCAGCACTTACTAGTTGTACTAACTTACTGGTTCATGAGCTGTATGATCTTGAAGATGATGATTGACCACAGTGAATCTCAACTTCCTCTTTTATTAATTAGGGATAATAATAGCCCCTATGTGACGGGAAGGTTTTAAGGATCAAATGCAATGAAATGCAAATCCAAGAACCAAATATATATTTTATAGTACATTAGTCATCATGAATCAATAAAAAGTACCATCTCCTAGAACAGAGAAAATTAATCAACTTAGAACAGAGAAAATTAATCAACCTCTTTTCAAAATGTGCAATAAAAATGTTTCAAACCCATGTCAAGGCAATATCTATCTCTTATATGAATTATCTTTTCTCTCAATATTAATAACAATATCTAACAATTATGGTTTAGCCCATCAGGCATTCTGTTAAAAGCTTTACTTTCAGGATCTCACTAAATCCTAAGACTCCTCTAATATATGAAATATCATCATCCTCATTTTATAGATGGGTAACTGCTGGTGTCATGTGCTATCTAATCGGCTCCGACTCATAGCAATCCTGCACCCAATAAAACGAAACCTTGTCTGACTGGGCTGCGTCCTCACAACCTCCTCTAGCTGAAGGCCATTGCTGTCGCTGCGTCAGTCCGTTTCACTGAAGGTCTTAAAGAACTTATCAAAAATCATAAGCTGGCACAGACTGGAAACTACTCCTACACCTAGGAAATCTGACCCTAGAATAACACTCTTCACTATAGTTTTCACTTATTTCTCTTTCTTCAGAATAAAACTTCTAATATAAGTAGTCTAATCTATATAGGGAGACCTAGCAGTAAGAATCTGTGCTGCAATCCTTAAGGCTTGTGGTTCAAATCCACCAGCAGCTCTGTGGGAGAAGGCTGGTCAATCTCCTCCCAGGTGATTAATGGCCTCGGAAAACCTGATGTCTGGAAGGTCAGTTATGAGTCGGTTCCAATTCAAAGCCATACAACAACCCAACAGTCTACCTAGAGCCCTGAGAGATCCAGTGGAAAGGACTTAGCAGGCAGTTCGAATCCACCAACTGCAGTGAAGGAGAGAGATGAGAAATCTCCTCCTACACAACATATAGTCTCCTGGGCTCAGCAGTGATTGGGCAGCAACTCAACAGCAATGAATGAGTAGTCTACCGTATTGATTTGATATTTTACAGGACAAATTTTCTACTTTAAGAGTTGCAATGTGAAATTTAATTCAAGCTTGTCTTTCTTAAGATACTTTCTGCATTAGCCAAATATATTTATAAAAAATTCAGTTTTCATTTCTACCTTAACAGAGGACTATTTTTTTCTAAATGACTGAAACCAAAGCTAATTATTCTATTTCTTAAAGCAAAAACTTTTTCAGGAATACCTTGCCTGATTTACCTCCTTGCTTTAAAGAACATATATTTTTAGTTCAGCCTCTCCCTTGGGGGAGATGAGATTTAGTGTCTCCTTAGGCATCAACTGCCCAAAAAACTGTGATTTACAGCTTCTTAAAACTTGCTAGAGGGTCAGTTATGAGTTGGTTTTGACTTGACAGCACTGAGAATGAGTGAGTAATCAAATTAACAGTCAGTGCTATGTCAATGTAAAATAGGAGAAAAATCCTTTTTAGATGTCCAACTTCTCAACAATATTAAAATAGACATACTGTGACAGAATCAAGCCTCTGTTTCACTTGCTGCATCTTCAGTGATGAGTTTTCAGTGTGGACAAATTCATCAATCTGGAAGGAGCCTTGATGGGGAAGCTTAGGACAGGTACATAATGCATCTTGACTTTGGTGTATCCCAGGTAATGGGAATGTTCCATTGTAGCGTTTAAACATTTCAGCCTCTTGCTGGGCAACTAGAAATATAAATCCATGAACAGTTAAAAACAATTTATTCGAACTTTGTAAATAAACCAGTATAAAAAATATGACTAAGGAAGTATAATCAGATCATTAAATCATGAAATGATAGCCTTCTACAAATGATTAGAAAAAGCTAGCAATCTACCAGTTTTGTTTTTTTTTTTCAATCTACCAGTTTTAAAATACTGAGTAGTAACAGAACAATGTGATTTGTAAAATGTAAAATTAGTAAACACTAGAAAGAAGCCTTCGTGACATAGTCTGTAACATGTTGGACAGCTATCCAAAAGGTGGGTGGTTTGACTCTACTAGCTGTTCTGAGGGAGAGAGATGGACAATGGCAGAAAGCCAGTGGAGTGTTGCTCTGAGTTGTGAGCAAGTTGACAGGAGTGAGGTTGCTTTGGTATTTTGGACGTAGACATAAAGGAAATGTAATAAAGCCTCTGCTGGTGTAGTGCATTGCATGTAGGGATGCTCAGCAAAAGGGCAGCAGTTTGAACTGCCAATGGCATCTTGGGAGAAAAATGAGGCACTGTGCTCCTGGAAAGACTGGAAGACTTAGAAACCTGATGAGGGAATCATTTGTTATTGTGGTGTACTGTGGCTTCGGACCTGACCCTTAGCTAACCCTCCGACGGGTTTTCAGAGGCTGTTATTAATTGCATGAGAGAAGACTGCCCATCTTTCTCCCGCAGAGCAGCTGCTGGCCTTGAACTGAGTGCCTCTGGGATTGCAGTACAGCTTCAATTAAATAGTAGTTAATTTCATATAGGATTTTTTAAAAAATGTAAGTTCACAGTTTAAGTTCACTTTAGGCAGCACTGTGACAGGACATAAAGCCCACAGCTCTTCCATGCTCACGAACACAAACTAGGAGAAAGGACTAACTTTAAGTGTAAGCTGTCAGGTGTCACCGCGTCAATTCCAACTCACTGCAACTTGGTGTGACAAAAAAGGAATTTCTCTAAAAAGCTTTAATTTTTCTGGTAGCAGATCTTTCTCCTGCGTAGCTGTTGGGTGAGTCTGGACTGCCAACATTTTACTTAGCAGTCAAACACTTAACCATCTGTGCTACCAGGGATCCTTGTATAAACGCATAACAGAATCAAAAGACTAATATAATAAAATTAATGGCACTGCTACAACCATTAACAGTTTTCATTATAAACTTAATTCCCTAAAATAGGTTTCTCATTTCTCTCTCTCCTTCAATTCCTTCTGATCTCTGTCAATCTGTCACACGTGGTGGCTCGTGTGTTGCTGTGATCCTGGAAAGCACACTGACAGCATTTCAAACATGAACAGGGTCAGCCATGATGGAGAGGCTTCAGCAGAACTTTCGGACTAACACAGACCTGGGACAGGACCAATCCCACACTTCTGAAATAACGAACCCTGGTAAACCCTATGAGTAACAGCTGGACAACGTTTGATGCAGGTTTGGGAGATGAGCCCTCAGGTTGTCAGGCTCTCAAAATATGACTGAGGAAGAGGTGTTTCCATGACTGAGGAAGACCAGTCTACTCCTGAGGAAGACCCGTCTGCTCAAAGAAGAGTCTAGTTTAAGGACATGACAGAGTAAAACTTTCAGTCACTGACATCCTTCACGACATCAATGACATTCACATCCTTGCTGATGTGCCAGGACTGAAGTGATAAAACATCCAGTATTAATTAGAATGTATCAAATATGAATCTAAGACAATGGGAATTTGTAAGAAGTGAAATCGAACACATAAAGGTCAATGTCCCAAGCACTGGTGAACTGAAATGTACTGGAACTGGCAATTCTTAATAAGACAGTCGTATAGTCTACTGTTAAGGAAATGACAAATTAAAGAATGATATTGCATTCATTATCAAAAATAACACCTCAAGTTCTACCCTGATGTACAATACTGCCAGTAGTAGGCTAATATCCGCACGAATTCCTAACAACAGCAACCGCTGAGTGGGTGGAGGGCCAGCAGCATCTGACTTCCACTATACTCCATAGGGGAGAAGAATCCTACCAAGAGTATCTACAGCACAAAGTTGATTCCCATAAGCACGGACCCAGGCTCTGGTATGTGCTTCTATCAAGTCCAGCACCAGCGTCTTCTCCCACAGATCTTGCTACTCTATTACAATAAGCTTGCTAATCTGTTGCAAATGGTCACATGAAATTGAGAACTAGCTAGAGGATGTCACTTTAAAGACTAAGGTGCATCTGATCTGAGTCATGGCGTTTTTGGTTGCTTCATATGGAAGTGAAAGCTGGATAAGGAAGGCCAAAATAGAACTGGTGATTCCGAAAAGTAATGCTGGTTAAGAAAACCATGGGCTGTCAAAAACCAAACAAGCCAATCTGTCTTGGAAGAAGTACAGGCAAATGCTCCTTGGGAACAGCAATGGTGATATTTTTATCTCACATAGTTTGGATATGTTATCAGGAGGCACCAGTACCTGGAGAAAGACATGAGGCTTGCCAGAGAGTCGGCAAAAAAGAGGAAGATCTTCAATGAGATGAACTCACATAGTGACTGCACCAGTGGGTGCCACATGCAACAGTGGACGCAGCACAACTGTCAAGAGGCAGGGACAGCTGGCACCTCCTTCTGCTGCACTTAGCGTCACTATGAGCTGGAACCAACTCAAGGATACCAAACAGCAAGATTAATTAAAGGAGTTAGCGAGCAAACCATGGGCATTACAAGGTGGAACAGCTGGTGGATATGGATCACGCATCTTTGAGTTGGCAGCACAAGTCCTTTCCACTAAGCCACTGTTGTTGGTGTTGTTAGGCGTTGTCCAGTCGAGGACGACTCATAGTGACCCTCTGAACAAAAGATCTGAACCCTGTTCTATCCTGCACCATCCTCACATTTCCTGACACACAAGAGCCCATTGCAGAGTCACCGTGTCAATTCACCTGGTGGAGGGTTTTCCTCTCCTTCACCGACCCTCTACCCTTTGTAGCATCATGTTCCTCTCCTAGGAATAGCTCCTCCTAGCAACATGACTGAAGTATGTGAGGCAGAGCCTCATCATTCTTGCCTCCAAAAATCCACTCTGCGTGTATCCTCTCCAAGACATATCTGTTTGTTCTCTTGGCCATCCATGGGATATTCAGTGTTCTTCTCCAACACCATAGCTCAAAGGCGTCAATTTTATTCTGTTATCCTTATTTATTACCCAGCTCTCAGATAACCACAAAGACTAAGACATTGAGTATGTAAAATGAAGTATTGCTGTTGTGTACCATCAACTAAGAACTGGCTTAGAGCAAACTTTCTGATGGGTTCTCAGAGGAGTTAACTGCAAGGGAGGAGATTATCCATCTTTTTCCAATAGAGCAGCTGGTGGATTTGAACCATATGCCTTTGGGATTACAGCACAGCTTCTTGCCACTAGGCCACCAGTGCTCCCAAAATTTGAATTATGAGTATGGAAAACTGCTCTTACTATACTATTAATTAAAAAGGAAATAGTTTATAAAACAATACAATAACTATATAATGGGTAGCCACTTTGCTTATAGTTATTAACCTTGGTTTCATTAAGCATGAGTCTGAAATAATACACACAAAAATTTTAGGGCTTTATCTTCACATTCTTGTATTAAATGCATTTGTTGGTATAGGTCCATAGAGAGCTGTGCTGTTAGCCTAAAGGTCATGCCTCTCTGGTGGTTCTAATCCACTCACTGTTGGTCCTCGGGGGGAAAAAGATTGGCAATCTCTTCTCAGGCGGTTTACAGCCACTGAAAACCCACTGAAAGGTCAGCCATCAGTCAACTGACCCAACAGTAAATTATTGACTGACTGACTGATTTGAAGAACAGGCCAAAAGCAACTGGTTGCTTCCTCCAAGCAGACCCTGATGAGGACCTGTTGCAGGGAATATATTAAAAAGAAAATACCAGAATTCACTGTTTCAGGGATAAAAATGAGACTTGAAAATTTACATTTGTCAGTATCAACTGTTTTACCAAAATGAAAGTGCATCTTTTTCTCTGTAGATTTTTTTTTTTTTACACTTAATTTTAAGTACATGTTTTGGACTTCATTTCAGAATATTGAAAACATTAATTTACTGTCAAATGTTCAAAAACTATTTATATAGTAAGGACAGAAATGTGCTCTGTGGACTGAAATTTGGAAGCCGAAATTTTTAGGGATGAAAAAGAAATCAGCGCATGAAAATTGTGCTCCATGATCTTTGCCTTACAAAGTGTCAACTATCTCATTATCCCAAATTTTGAATTTATGACAATAGTAATAAATCTACGTGACTACTTTGTCCATTAATAACATACATCTGACAGAAACCTGAAGTTATGAGAGTAACACTGGCTGTGAAGGTGAAGGTAAGGTACCAACCTGCCTCAGCTATGACTCTCAGTGGCTTGGCAATTACATAACAATGTATTTGGTAGTTGAGTAATGAAGAAACTTGGCCATTATGTAATGAAGCATTCAGTCATTCTCTACTGTGTGATGTGATGTGGTCACATTCTCTATTCCCAGCAGGATGACAACTGTTGCACAACAACCTGGTCTTTGGGATTTATATTTATAAATGAGGAGTGGGTTTGCTTTTCAATGTTGCCCTTTTAAAGTTTTGGGTTTTCCTGCTATGAACATAAATCTGGGTTTAAATATTTAATGATATTTTCTCACTTTCTGTTATGTCTCTGATATTTCTGAAGTTGACAAGTATATATATTGATGTCATGTGCTGTCAAGTCACTTGCAACTCACAGCAACCCTATATACAACAGCCATAAACTCGGCTCTATCCTGAGCCAACCTCATTGTCTCTGACACATCCGTCCCCATTACCTCAAAGAGTCAATCCATCTCATCCAGAGTCCTCTTC